CATAATATACACAGTGTATTATGAGGGGTGTGTGTGGGGTGGTCGACAAGTCAATTCTGTTTTGTTAAGCTGAGTTATAAAGCTGCTGTCACTGATCTCGAGTGATCTGAAGGCTGTAATCTCCTTTATTTCTGGGCCAAATCCAAGAAAATACAGTAAAGAACAAAAGCAAGTTCCTCCAGGGTCACATTTCCAAGTCTTTAGAGTGCAAAATGAATACAGGACTGGAAGTTTAGCAGGGATTGCCGCAGGACGAAGTTCAAACACCTGCAGGTTAAAGTACAGTACAGTTAATCGGTGCTAAAACGCACAATGGCGTACGCTGCATTTGATTGAAATGCTGAGCTATTTTGATGGAAACATGCGTAGCCTGTATATGCGCGCAGGCTTCGTCGCTGGCTCAGGAATGTTGGCATCAAGTATGCAGTCCTGACAGACAGCTGCACTGCAGTGGCGTTTTTAACATGCCACACCAGGACACAAGCCTGCAGGATCCTCTGTCTCTGAACAAAATCAGAGAGTGCGTGAAGAAATTAGAGCGAAACTACTGGCGAAGCGAAACGCAGAGAACTCACCAGTTTGACTCTATCTGTGGGGATGTTAGAGTTAAAAAGATTGCTGAATTTCCTTTGAAATTTGAGAGAGAAAAGAAAACCATGTGTATAATAAAATATTTCCCTTCAGAAGTCTGTGTCCAGTTTGAAAAACTTGCAGCTTTTATAAAAGCGTAAGAAGCAAAGCATTCTTTTTAAGTATGACCCTGCGGGGTTCTGCACCGACTCCATCAACGAGTCACTGACTCACTTTACTCTAATGTCTGCGAACTGCGCCTGTAAACCGCTCCTTCATGCTCACAAACACTTGACACCTTATTCTCTCGCAAGTGACTCTTTAATCACTAATCCCCAAGAGTTTTGGCGTTATTTCCACCCTCTGCCATTTCACCCCATCACACAACCACAGTATTCATTACACTAGGTGTATCGCGATCGGCTGGTTGCCCTGTTTATTTTGTACATGTTCAGCCCCGCCCTGCAGACGCGCTGATATCACGCAGTTGCGTAATTTGACAAGCCAGCGCAAAATAGGGAGAATGAGCGTTTGACAGCTGCCGTTTTCCTGCTACAGATTTCTTCGAAACAAAAGAACACTTATGCTGCATTCATTCGCTAAAGATTTCGGATAGTTGCCCAGAATCTCTGCTTGCATGGCCGCTGCCGTGAGGAATAATAATGTTTGGGTTGCTCCGCGGCAGGACGCGCAGTTCCTCCAGAAAACCTCCGCACCATTCACATCCGACGGTCTTAGAGGTGAAGATCATGGACAAGTGCTCTGTAACACGAGGGATGCCATCCCGGGAACTTCCTCCTTCCACGATTACAATTTGGTAGGGGCTCGTATTATTATTATTTTTTTCTTTCCCCGTCTGCCTCTCAGCATCACGGGCTTTACTGGTGTCAGCAGGTTTAACGCAGGATTACAGTGTGTTGCTGATCAAAGCAAAAAAAAAGAAAGAAAGAAAAAAAAGGCTGTTTTCATTTAAAGATGTGACCCACGATACTGAAGGAAGGCCCGTGTGATTACAGCTAAATCCTGGGCTTTTAACCTCTGCATCGATGCTGCTATTTACTAACTGTTAAGAGGGGGAATTGCAAACAGGACATGGCTGGGATGTGACGCGTTGCTCCCGCTCCTGAAACAACTCCTGAGGAAGATGCATTGCCGTGCAGAGCAACTGCATGTTCTAATTTCAGCCATGTATTCTGAAACAGCTTAGCCTGGAGTGTTTTAGAAGGGCGTCTGCTGCTTGTAGGGAGGGGGTAGTGGGGGCGTCTTTGATGTGGATGGGTGCACACGAGTAGGCCCCAGCATGCATCCCAGATTAATTTACGTCAGTTACTTTTGTTATTGTCAGACTTCTAGTACCTTAAATGGGCAATAATGGGAAGTTCTGAATGTCTCTGATTTTTCATTAACTCTTGCCCCAATTAATATTTCTCCAAGTCCAAAGAAATAATGATATAAACAGATGAGTGCATGATGAGTGCTGACCTTGATAAATCTGAATGAAAAATGTCCTAAAACTAAGCAATTAGTGAGCTTGAATCAATTACACAACACTTGTATTTCCTATTCTGCTGTCTTTATATCCACAGTAACAATCTTGCTACGACTCACCTGATCATTTTCCTCTGTTTTGCCTCTCCCAGGGTAAATCCGAGATGGACAGCTATTTGTGTTCACAACCACAGGATGTAGTAAATTCCAAAATGATGTGCAGAGACAGCACCCTGGCTCTAGAGCCACCTTTCACTGAGGACTTTGCCTCCCCTTACAGCGTCAGCATGAGTTTGCTCCTTCCCGATGTCACATATCTGCACCCAGGCCTTTGCAGGACTGTCAGACAGATCAAAACCGAGCCAACAAACTCTCTGATGCATCCCGCGTGCCAGGGGAGCGGAGTATCGCCAGCAGTCCCTGAATACCCAGGGTTTTTTTGCGCAGCTGACACTGCAAGTGGTAACTTCGTCATCAAGCAGGAAGTGCCAGATTTCCAGGACGTTCCCCTATTTCAGCTTTTGAACTCTGATCTGGAACAGCTCATTCACAGCTCGCAGGTGAACCCCATCCCCATAGCCCCGTTAAGCATTCCCACTGGGAATGTTCATGCTGGCCCAGTCCCGAATTCTACGAAACCTGCGAGCAGCTTGCAGAACGAATGTTTTTCATTTAATCGACGCGTGGGCCATCAGCCAGGATCAACCTATCTGCCACCTTCTCCGCCAAACTCTGAGCCCTCAAGTCCAGACAGGGGCAAAGGAGTCCTTCACAACCTCTCCCCACCTCCATCCTACGAAGCCAGCATCGCCTCTAAGTTAAATTTTGAGACCCACAATTCCATTGACCTTGGACAGACACCCAGCATAGCTCCAATCCAAAACCAAGATCAAATTTCCACGTCTGGATTCATCCAAAGTTCAGGTTCTGGACCAGTACAGCGTTCAAGCCTGACACCAGTTCAAACAACGTCGGGTATTGGCCCGCTGTCCCCGGTGTTGGCTCAGTCGGCTCCAGTTAAGTACAATCGAAGGAATAATCCTGATCTGGAGAGACGGCGGATTCACCACTGTGACGTCCCAGGTTAAGACTTCTGTTCGGTCTCCATAACAACAATTAATTTGAGTTTAAATTTTGTCAACATTAAAAAAGATATAAAATGCAAGTACTTAATGTGCTCTGTCTGTTTGCTTTTACAGGCTGTCAGAAAGTATACACAAAGTCATCTCACTTAAAGGCTCATCTGCGGACGCACACAGGTAAAATGTTCTGAGTTGCACTTCTTATTTTTGGATGAAATTGGTGACGTTGCCAGGCAGAAAAATTGCACTTGGCTTGCAGATGCATTCTGTCTGCTGACAGACCTGGCCCACATCTCACTGCTGTCAAATCACATAAACCCGCAGCTCTCATAAAGAGAGCAGGGACGACGACAGGACATGGTGTGATTTATGACTCACAGTTGTGGCTTAGTGTGAGTTTGTTTTTTTTAATTGGATGGAGTAGTTTGGTTTTTTTTCTTGCATAACATTAAATATTGAAGGAATTCAAATATATTTAAATATATAATGACTGGCTACCTTTATTCTTCAACTTCTTCCCGATGAAGGTGAGAAGCCGTACCACTGTTCCTGGGAGGGATGTGAGTGGCGCTTCGCCCGCTCTGATGAGCTGACACGCCATTACAGGAAACACACCGGGGCAAAGCCTTTTCAGTGTGGAGTGTGTAACCGCTGTTTCTCCCGCTCTGACCACCTGGCCCTGCACATGAAGAGACACCAGAGCTAGAAATCTCTTCCTATAAAAACATCAATCTTCCTTTCCTGTTTTTTGTTTTGTTTTGGTTTTTTTTGGACAAAATACCATCATATGCATATCAGCAAATAAACATGTTAAAAACTGTGAAACTTATTTCACTCACTCCAAAAGGGGCAGATAATCTTAGCAGTGCTGGCCCACAAATACGAATAATAATAATGTAAAAAAGATCAAATATTATGGTTGCCTTATTTTTTTTCCACACAAATGCCTCAGTTTAGGGGATGTTTGCATAGGTATTAGTAAAAAGAACAAAAAAAAAAACATAATGTAATAACGTAACTATAATGTATCTTTTTTAAGATTTTATTTTAATTCTACACAAAAACATTTTGAAATTTAAATTTTATATTTAGGTGTTTTCATTGTACACATCATATCACCCACGTGTCGTAGGGGCATTTATTTAGTATGCTGCAAACTGCTACACTGTAAGTGCAGATATCTATGTATGCTATTAGCCGGAGGGAGGACGATGTTGTTGCAGCTAGTAGGTCAAAGGGTTGGTTGTGCATTTGTGTAATATAGAAAGTAAAAGCACTTAAGTTAAAGTTGCAGCAGGAAAGCAAGTTGCAGAGTTTTCTGAAGCGGTAGCAGGAAGAATAAACATCGAGGGGGTGATGGGCATTGTTTGTGAGCCATGTGGTGATTGCATTGCTTACAACATGAGGACACTTGGTATGAGATATTAAGCGTTGAATGACCAGCACGGTGTATGATCTTTATCTGTGCTCTGACACTGTAACATACACATGGTCCTTACAGAGAGGGTTGTCTTTTTTTTTCTAAGTGCAGCAGATGAATCCAAATGTTGCATCTTGATTTTAGGATTTCTGTGAACACTTTCCACTACTGTGGTGTTTAACTTTCAGCGAGATCTCATTTTATATTAGGAATTCGAAGTGCTGAAACAATTTACAATATCTTTGGGAACATTTATTTTCTCTCTCCTGTTCATTGTCATCGTGGAGAAATCAAAACATGCGGGTGAGCCTAATTTGACACTTAATGTTTTCAGTGTGAACATCTATGAAAGTTGATGGTTTCTTTGACTTCTCTCCAAATATCAAACACCTTTTTGAAAGTGCCTTTAACTGCTTAGTTGTTGTTGTTGTTTTTTTGAATGAATGAATGAATGAATGAATGAATGAATGAATGAAAAACGAAGCTGCCCCTGCCTGTTAAAACCATCGACTATGTTCCTCTTAATTTCCACAATGTAACATTAATAGAAATCTCTATTACCTGACCAAATTTGAATATGGCTTAGCAAAAACTAATTTTAAAGTTTCTGTTATTTAAGATGTATATATTTTGTATCTGCTGTTTTAAAATAAAAAAAAAGAACCATGTATTTCTTTTGGATTGTATTACAGTTTAAAAATTTTCTTTTTTAAAATAAATTAAGTTTGTTTATTTTTGTTTTACAAAGTACAAAAAGGATTAGATTACGCCGCTACAGTCGACGCTGTTACGAGTTTATCCAGCCAAGAAAGAAGCGCAGCGAATTATTGCAATACTGTTGAATAAATAAATATGCACAAAGGTCAGAGGTTTGTGTCAAAGCTGAAACATTAACATGTAGCCTAAACTGATCAAATGTCCAATGGAGCTGTGTGTCCCTCACGGTGCAAATAAAGATGTTTTGTGTTGAATATTAACTTTTGAAATGTCTGATAATTTATTCACAACATTTAAAAGGTTTACTCTAGCCATATGTCTCCATGCTAAATCTTGAGACAACGCTGGCTAATGCTAATGCTAATCTTTTGTTGCTTGCAGAGCGGGAATATTGCACGTTATTATATAATTTTGCACCACAGCTTTTGCTTTCAGTGAACCTTGCTGGTATTGAATAAGAAATAGCACAAAAACAGGCATGGCAATGTTGATCGGTTTTTGCTTTAGAAATTATGCTTTTTATGCAAAATAGGAGGGAAAAAAATTAAAGGTGGCTCATTGACACCATTATTTTTTAAGTTACAAGCTGACAATACAGATAGTTTTAGAAGGATAATAAAAAGAACTCATGTAGCACCTTTGTAGTCTGTCTAACTTTCCCAAGGACACTTGCCAGCTGGAGGAGCCAGTTTTTCTGGAATTTGCTAATTAGTCCGGACCACACCCCGATTCAAGACTTTCCTTTTTAACAATCTGGTGTAATCGAAACAAAACAAGTAATTTTCTTGGTTTGCAACTCTTGGAAGGTGTCCCTGACATGAGTCATAGCAAAGCTTTTGCAAAAAGTACCAGGAGAACCTGTAAAAGCCACAGAAGGTGTCTGAGCTTGTCCTGGGTGCAGAGGAACTCCTGAACTCTTCTGAGGATTATTTACTAGTGTAAGTCCCCCCCAGCCTTCCTCCCAGTGCTTTACATTACTTACGGTACAGTAAAGCCCACATAACTCAGACTCTAGTGAGTGATAAATCATTCAGGTGAGATCCTGCACAGTAAAATGCTTAGTGGAGTGGGAATTGATTGTAATCATCTCAATCCGTTGCTGCCTGACAGAAACATTCATCCAGACCTCGTTATAATAGAGCAGAGGACAGGAAGTACAGGGTGCATTCTTTTAGCTGAAACCTTTTCTCAGAAAAGGCTTGTTTGAGAATACCAGGTCTTAAAATACTACTCTTTGTTGATACTGCATAAGAACAACAAAGCATGTGATATTACAACGAGGTACACAATGTTTTAGTTGGACGATTCAAAACGTCTTTTTCCGCTTCCAGTAGCAGTCCGATGAACTTTGCGTACAGACCACTGTACTGTTGTTCAGCTACGTCTTCCCTAATAGCGAGATTAGTTTTCCGAATGCCAGCGAATGGGAGTTCTCGGATGTCTAAGTGACACCGAAACCACATTCCACCCATCTCAGTCATAGATAGCAACTGGCTCCGTCCCAGTCTGTTACATACAAAATGCAACTTTATTAACCTTCATGCCTCCATTCATATTAATATACATGTATATGTTTGAACTTATTTTAATTTCACAGCTCCATCCATATGAAAAATACAGAGAAAAAGGCAAAAACACTGACTGGATACTTAAACAACTCTCGGAGAAAAGGAAACAAAAAAAGTGTAACAGGAGAAAAAAAAAGAGTACATCTGTTGTTGACGTTTTGAAAAATATCAGGATTAAAAATTTCTGTTACAGATGTGGAATTCCATGAGCAGAATCTCCCTTTTTGATGTTGAGCAATATCACATTATTCTTTACGGTAAGAATGAAAAGATCTGAATATATTTACACTACACTCACTTTACATAAATACAGGAACAACGATTACTGTACGTAATATCAGCAAACTTGAAACAAAGGCATTGGCTTCACTACCTAAATTTTCAAAACCAGGAAAATCAAAAGCAGATGTTATACAGAAAGTAAAATATATATTGAACTGACAGAAACCGCAAGATAAGTATTCATTAAGAGAGGTGTGACTGCTGGAATCCCAGCCACAGGATTTTTTTTCCTTTCTTTTTTTTTCTTTTTTCCTGTGAGTATGATTCCTCATCATCTTCCATGGAATCACTATGTTGAATTGATGTGTTGAAGCTGAAACACCAAGAGACCTTTGTAACTCGGTTTTGTTACCCTTAGAGGAAGTGACTTATTGCAAGCAAAGTAATAATGTGTGCTATAAACAGCCTGTGAAAGTGTTATGGGAAGATGCTGCATTGTACACAATGGTATAAGGCTCAGTGCGAAAAGAAAGTTCAACATTAGAGGTCCGACTTGCATAATGTTGTCTGTGCTTCTTTTTTCTCCCCCAGAATTCGTGGTTTTCTCGTTTGAAATTTATTAATCCAAGCACGCGTGCTGAAATCGAAGCTCTGCACAGAGCAGCTGATATTACAAGTTTGTGATATGAGGCACTATTCATTATTATTATTGCATAACTTTGACCCTGGTTACCGTAACAAAATTATGCTTTAAAATATGAGGAAAGAGATGCTGAAGGGAAATACAATACACCCTGTCCTATGGAGACACCATCTTCAAGTCAAATTGAGATTTTCAGAAATTGGTGTATTAAGGCATGCAACGTCATATACTGAATACAGGAGTATATGTGTCGCTGATATGTGCTTGATCGGTAGAATTTCTTGTCGGGTATAGCAAAATAGCAACACAGGGAATTGTGTACCTTAATACTGTGTATAAATAATTGGTCGATTCTAGCAAACACTGGTTCAGCCTTGGGAACTGAAAAAAAATGATTTGATCATGAATGTGTTTAACCACAAACCAAAGAGAAAATAAAAAGCAAACTGTTCTATAACATCACATATGATCATTTACATGATGAATACCATTAGCCCCATTTCACTGTATATCAAATTAGATAAATTACAGTCTCTGAAAAAAGACTTTACATGTATAAATGTATTTCCTGCATCTACTAATCAAAAGCCCTATTTTTCCAATGTATGTACAGGCTGTAGAACTTTGTAATAAGTTTTATCTTCACTATCACATATATTACAACATTTCAAAATGTCCTTTGTACAGAAGAGAAAGATTTATATGCAAATGAAGACGTGCCCCTCAATCATAAAAACGCTCTAATACATTATAAGGATGATAAAATACGATGATGATTATTCGCTTATAAATTGACATCTGAAATAAAATCATTTGAATATCATACGAAACAAACAAACAAGGTGCTGATATGGTTTTGCCAAAATGCTAATACAACTGGGCATAATGTCGTGCACAAACAATACAGATAAATAATGACAACATGCGTTCTCCAACAAACCGAGAAGGGCGTCGCACGCTTCCGTGCGGAAATTGCTTCCTGGATTTGGCTGTTTTACTGAAAGTGAGAATGTGGAATCCAAGTTTGTGCATTAGCGTGCAAGTGTATGGATTTCAAGGTACCGTAATCGAAAAGGTTAACATTTTTCTTTTTTACTGGCCTAGGTCCAATAGATGCATTTGGCAGCATTATCGAATAACATTGGTTGGCCTGATATTTTATGTCCGAAGCTTTTACGTAGCATAAAGAGCGCTGGAAATACTTGCAAAAATGTCCGTTATTAGGTCTATAAAAATATATTTTTAATTGAATTTCCTGATTAAGGTTAAGTGATGCTTTCCAATAAATATATCTCTGCCGGAAACTGCTTCTAAAAGGTACTCCTGCTGTGAATACAAACACACACACAGAAAAAAAGAACGGAAAAAAACAGTGTGCATGTATTTGTGTATGCATGTGTGCAATTCCTGCATTTTTCTGCTTTTTACATGACCAAATCTCAGGTAAATCAGATATAAATCATAACTTATATCTGGTCTGAGGCGATTTCAAGTGACTTTGTTTGTGTTTGAGACAAACGACAGGAATAAAAATGATACATGTGGAGACAATCACCAGCTGGGAGACATCAGATTAGAAACCAGTCAGTAACGGAGGGAGTTGTGGTACAGAGCGTGAGGAGGTGGCCAAGCTGGGAACTTCTCCTCGGATATTGACATCAGCAAACAGAACAAAGAGGAGGTTTAATGTTCCTTCCCATCACTTTGTTCAGAATGTATTGCTCTTCTGTATTGTACACCAGGTGCCACACTATCCCTGTAACACTTCAGCTGGTGTCAGTGTCATTTTCTGGACAAGTGCTGCGGTGCTGTGCAAAACCACAACACAAATTCCTTTTTTTTCTGTTAAACCCAGCTGAAATGACTTTTTCTTTTTAAAAAATGAGAAATGTCAGGACACAATAAAAGTCTGTAAGGTGCCTCTATTTTTTCACATACTGGAAATCTCCTCTGATTGTTCAGTTCACTGTACATGAGGGGTTGTATTTTCTGAGTCAAACATAAGCAATAAGCAGGCATTAAAAAAGAAGCAAAACCCAATAAACAAAACATTTTTATACTGAAGTATATTTATCCTTTAAGATTGCACTTTACTGATTGCTAATCACAGCTCAAAATCCACCAGATTTTTTTTTTTTCCTTTTTCTAATAAATGCTTTGAAGAGGCTCAACATAAACATAAAGAACAGCACTGATGAGATTTGGAGTTGTCCGGCCATGTGAGTGGATCATCAATGGTGTGTGCTGGTGCGATGATATGCAAGTCCTATTTCCATTTATGAAAACAGGCATTGAATGACTGAAAAAGTGGAGGTGCTGATGAGGTTGATCTTTTCGGGTTGTGGGCATTTGAGTCTATCTTGATTACAGTTTGCAGGCGATGAGAAAGGTGAAAGTCCAACCTTCTTTTAGCTTCTACAAGGGATGCCTCAGATCTAAGAGCAGAAGCCAGGAGGAAAATGGAACCACTTATGATTAAATGGTGCCCCCTGCTGGTCACAAATCAGACTCACACAGGGGGCGTGGTGAAAAAACACTACCTGTAACTTCAACTACATCCAAGTCCGTTCCGTGATCCAGTCGAGGCCAAACTTCTTCCTGCTCACACAGGAAATCCTTTCCTTACAACGGGGTCTTTCACATTATGAATGCTGGAAAAGCAGCCGTTTGGAACAATAATGAAAAGAAAGACACCAAAACAAAAAAAGACAGTTGCAATTGCATTATACTTTTTTTTGTCCAAATAAAGAGTTAATCTTAAAAATCAAAGTGAAACATTTACGAACAGTGCTGTAAAAGACAGTTCCCTATTATACTCCAAGCAAAGACAAAAAAGATCCTGCCGTCTCTTCGTTCCAAACCAAAGAGGATCCAGAAGTGACCCTGTTTTGTGCTCCTCAAGCTCTGTGCACCTTCGTCCATCAGTTTTCTCTGTCTCCGTCTTCTCTCCTTATGAAGGATGAGGGCATGTGTGCGTCTGTGTCTGTGCGTGGGTGTGAGTGTGATAGTGTGTGTGTGTGTGTGCGCGTCCAGGCCGGCTGAAAACATTCACAGGGAGATCCCGCTCCCCCGGCTGCCTGTGTATGCATGTGAGTGTGTGTCTTTTCGTTGACCTCTCCATCTCTCTCTTTATCGCGCTCCGTCTGATTCACACCAGCATGTGTCTCCGTCGGTGCAGGGCCAAGTGGTCAGATCTGGAGAAGCTGCGGTCACAGTCTGCACACTTGAAGGGCTTCACCCCTGTGTGTTTCCTGTAATGCCTTGTCAGCTCATCAGAGCGGGCGAACTTCCAGGTGCAACCGTCCCAGGTACACTTGTATGGCTTTTCACCTGGAAAGGAAGTCAGAAAACGCAGTCCATGTTCAGTCGCATTTCCGGCAAATTAATTAGGAAAATCTGCACTTGATGAGTGATAATCCATGAATTACTGCTAACCTAATGTCCACTTTGGTAGTGCACAAGTTTCAAGAATCTATATAACTCAGTAAAATGGTATGGATGTCTGATGAGATATTATAGAAAATATTTAAACACAAAAAAATTAGAGGAACATATAAGTCACGCATCAGATTTCGACAGGGAAATATTCAATTTGAAAGTCTTCACTGAAAGACTGTGGAAGCACAAAATGATGCAAAAGCCTGGATTCAAAGTCACGGCAAGTGTTATCTTAATATTCTGAGCAGTCTATACTGTTGGACCTCAAACTGGCTTTAAAGTCTATATGATTTCCAGCGAATAAACAGCAAATTGCTGTATATTGACTAAACAACTGATATGCTATATTCTATAACAGGCCAAGAGCCGACACCTTTGCTACCCATAAGTCAAAATTTAGGGTTATTATCTCAAAAATTTCAAATCTCAAAAAGTTGCCTTTCTAACTCAAACCTCTGAGAAAAATCACTCAAAATTTAGAAAATAACTTGAAATTTCCAAGTAATTAAATTGAAATTTGGAGAGAATAACCTCAAATTTTGACTTTAGATGGCAAAACGTGTCTTTTTTTTCCATAGAAACCTTGTCAAATAAAAAAAAAGTCTAATTGTGGACTGAGGTCAGAGACCTTTAACAGGGAAAAGCATTTTCCATTATCCTAACAGCTTAATGTTCACTGCTTGTCAGCTAGTGCGCTGGCTGAAAAGTCAGGCTTTGCAGCAGCCTGAGAGAAATGACTGATTTTATAACGTGAGGTGTCACAATCATTAAAGATCTACACGGTTGGGGTAATGAACGCAACATGCTTATTTCATTTGCATAAATGGTCTCCATATGCGTATATGCACTTAATCGTGATATGCCACAGTTCTTTTCTTTTACGACTCTACTGCGAGACCAATTCTTTAAATAATGCTTGACCATTAAAAAAAGTGTGCAGAGTAGTAACGTTCTTCTCAATGTGTGAACAGAATAATGTATAATTTCTTGTGTGGTGCTATAACGTTGTGCCAGGGAGCCATACAATTTACAATCAGTATGCACCTTTTACTTAAAGCAGACTCTGAGGCTTGAAATGATTTAAGGAAGCTATAACTTCAGTGTCCGTCCACAACAACGGGAGATCGTTTCAGTAGGAACGGCTGTAATTGTTTTAGCACTTTTCATGAAATAAATCATGTTAAGGACAATTCAGCCTTCTCAAAAAGTAATTAAAATGTTCCAAGATGCCGTATGTTGTCTTGTCTTACTGCGTTCATGAGACAGATAAGAATAAGTTTAGCTGCTCAACGCTCTTCTTCAGTGAGTCAAGACTCTAAAGTGGTTTTCAGCAGTAACTTTCTCAAAATGTGAAATGCCACCTCACTTAGACTTAAACAAATAGCATTTAACAGCATCAAAATAAAATAACAGCATTTCACAACAACTGTTCTCACACGTAGATTTACTGACCTGTATGCGTCCTCCGGTGTGCTTTTAAATGCGAGCTTTTGGTGTACACCTTATTGCACCCCTCAAAGTCACATCTGTGGATTCTTCTCTTTTTGGAATCCGGTGACTCCGACCTCCGAGGACGCCGTATGCTGTCGATACTGAACGGGGACATGGAACTGCAAGGAGGACAAAAAGTAGCAACAGATAACATTATTAGAGTCTGATGATGTCTTTGTCTTCTTCCATGATAAAGAGCAGTTGTCGAAAGTTTTGAAGAATAAGTCAGTCATTTTAATTAAAGTTTGCAGTGCATTTCAATTCAAAACCTGCTGAAGAATATTGCAGTGTTTATTTAACTTGCATTATTGCACCATTTACCATTTCAGTTTCAGTTTTCAGTTTTATTTGTCATATGCAAGTTAGCACAGGGTCAACATTGCAATGAAATGTGTTTGACGAGCAGCAGTCACTCAGCAGCATGGTACAGTAGAAGAAAATATAATAAAATATAATAAAATAAAATAAGAAAAAAATAGAAAAATAGTAAAGAGCAAAATATTAGAGAGACGTGGTAAAAGAGAAAAGATGACTAAATATATATGTATCTATAAATATAAATATATGTACACTAGTGATTAAATAAGAAAATCTTGAAAAGAAATATGACGGGAGGGCAGATGGGATATTGCATAGGAATGAGCAGCAGAAAATTACAGTATTGCACTTTTTAAATATAAATATTAATAACAATAAAGTGGAGTGACGAGGTGCAGATTAAACAGAGTACTTGTGAAGCTGCAAGGTAGCTTCTGAGTGCGTCCTGTGGAGTGTGTGTGTGTGTTTTTAAGTGTTGTGGTTGAGGTGTCGTATGGCTTGTAGTCCGAGCAGACAGACTCCTGTAACGTCTGCCAGATGGTAACAAGGAGAACAGCTGATGATGATTTGCAATAAAAGGTTTAAGTTTTTGTTTTATGCAACCAAAAGAACATAAAACATAACCGTCATACCGGCTGTAACGTCACTAGTTATTGCGTTAAGAGAGGAAAAGGTGTGTAGATAAAAGACAGACTGGTATTTACAGAGTGCTTTTGTGTGCTTAGTGAGAGCTCACTACGCATTTACACTGGAAGCACACAGTGCACAAAGACGTTCATACAGCACTTTGCTTTATGCGCTTGATCTAGAGCTCACAGTCACACAATTTGAGGTTCATCTTACCCAAAGACATTTCAACATGTCAGACTCTAGGAGTCAAACCACCAGTCTTCTGATTTGTGGATGATTTTGATGCACTCAATAAGTACAACCATTTTATCTCTTTCTTGTAAAAAGTAGTGCGTTTCTAAACGGAATCAACATATATGTATTTTTGAAATGCAAAAAAAAGACAGTATACAGTGAATATTGAAAGATAGACACGTTGAAGGTGGCAGAGCAGCAGCTTTGCCAGCAGGTGGCAGTGCAACTCTACTTAAGTACCTCTGAAAAAGTATGTAAGGTAAGAGGGCTGATATTTGTATGGTTCCAATACTATTGTTAAAGCAAAAGTGGTGAGATGAAGAAGTTTTTGTCTTTTTTAAAATCTCTGTGTTGTTGAGTCAGTTTAACAGCTTCTGAGTGATTTATGTGCTCATTGCATTTTGGCATTTCCTCTCCAACAAGCAGTCAGTATCACCGTCTACTGTATTTGTCATTGTGAAGCAATGCTGCAAAGTGTGTGCCTGTGTCAGTGAGCATGTGTGTGCGGTTTCACATGCATGTCTGACTTGCCAGTGTTTGTGAGCGCAGTTGCAGAGTACAGTCATCATATCTGTAGTTAATCTGAATGTACTGTCATCTTTGTGTTCTGAAGGCAGCGCTGCACACAAGCACACAACCCAGAGAGAAATCCAGAAGGCAGCAAGAGGCGGTCAGAAGTTCATGCCTCGCCCATGATTGTTGACTGTGCAACAGTGAGCACCTTTTTACACAACACATGACTCGTGCACGCAGCCGGCAAACTGTCGAGAAAAACCGAGATACGATATTGAGCGAAAACAAGAACATCTCTGTTTTGTAAAGGGGGGAGGAGTGATATATTTGGGATATATTTAACAGGGTTCTCTGCTTATGCTGTGAGGCTCGGAAACAGGTAAAAGGGTGAAGTGGGTAAAATTAAAGCAGAGTAGCGGGAGGAGGAACTGCTAAAATCATGTCAGAGGAACAGGGGCTGCCAGACAGGCCCTCCAGTGAACTGTCTCCACCGCACACAACCCACTTCCTGTCTCTCTGTTTTACACCAAAGCACAGTCAAATGCAGATACAGTATACACGCACAACAAAGATACACACATAGCTATACGCAGGCTATATAAATACACTGACACAGAAGCGCACGAATGCATACAGATCACCTGTTACTCTTGGCTTACTGCCAAACTGAAGCTATACAGGAAATGAGCACATGGGTCAGATATGAAGTGAACTCCATTTCCCCTCTCATTTCTCTCTCTCTCTCTCACTCTCTAAGCTCAGGGAATATCGCACTGTAACGTGATGATAAAACAAATGAAGAATTTAAGACGAAGAGTTAAACTCCTTTTCTCAAAATGATTGGTGAGTTTCCCGCATCACATATAATCTAGATGAAAATTTAGAGGGCCGTTTAGAGTCAGAGGTGCTGTAGAACTCTGCGTGTGTGTCTGCCCGGGAAAGTAAAGAGAAGAGCCAGTGGAAACACTCTGAGCTCAGACCATCGAGCAGATGAGGCGGATGTTTACATTCTGACTTCATCCATGAAGTGACTTCATGATTATGATATAATTTAGGAAGGTCTGAGTACAACAGCTTCTAAAACAAAGAACAAGCAACCATCATAAATTATTTCACCGAATACAACGCTGCTGCGTTTCAAGAGCTCAGTGACAGATTGGTTTAATCAGTAGTGGGAGTATTTATAGACGTTTTGTGCATCTGCAAAAAAAAATTAAGTGAGAAATGTTCCAGTTCTCAAAGAAGAACGGCCATTGCTCACCACCGCTCACCAGTGACATAAAGGTAAACAGTGGAAAACTTCTAATCCCGCTTAAATGACATTTTAATGATTCAAGTGAGGAAATTGGGTCACAACAAAAAAGCCAGAATTCAGTGCATAATTGAAAAATAGCCATAAAAGTTCAAGGCTTAAAGAGAACTGAATATGAAATACTGTGACAGAGTTATTACTAGACCTACTGATTTACGCTCCTGCTACACACTCACAATGAATACACGTACAGTCATGCGATTTGCCTGATTATTACTATTATATAATATATGACGATTTTGATGTCAATTAAGAGCATTTAACAAGAAAAAAAAGTGGCAGGAATTTGGTGCTTTTCAACGATAGCGTTGTAAACGCACAAGAAGTCTTCACTTTTACTACCTCATTATAGATGCACAAATTAATTTTGTCATTTTTAAAAATCTAATAATAATCCCAAATGCAAGAAAGCACACAAAATGTATCTCTTTGGATCTTTCATGCTTATAATGTAGTTCTTGTGTGACTGCGAATTGGTTATATTTTCTCATTAGAGCCCAGAGGAAAACTCACTCTGCCTTGAACCCTGAGTCACCGCAGCATAATGCTTGTATGAATGTGTCTGTTTGTGTCTCCCGAAGTAGCAGAAAGAAATGGGAAGTACAGCTGAGAATAATTTCAAACAGAGCTAACCTCTGTTTTTGTTCCTTTGTTTCCCCGTTTCTGGTTTTTTTTCTCCCCTCATCATCCGCTGGGCTCTACACATACGACAGAAAGACGGGGAGCATGGGGAATGAGTGTGTGTCACCTGCATTAGGGATTTCCCACAATACAAGCACAATACATATTTCTAACTCCTCACCCGCAACGGGGTCACAACACCGGCTTGAGCACAGCAACAGCATGACCTGCTTCAAGGCACTGGTGGAATTATCAAGAAAACAGGAAAGGGAGTGCTCAAGTTTGTGTATGTGTGCGCTGGAACACTGCCCACCGGGCATTCCTGTACCTGTCCGAGGATACTACCCCTCACCTCGCCCACATCTCCTCCCTCCACCTGCTCTCTGGCCCCCCAGGTCCTTGGGGACCCGCCAGACTTCAACAGAGACAACCCTCCCAACACAAGCCCCTGCCCCCAGCCTCACACACCTCTCCTCTCTGTCTTCCTCTCTTTCACTCGCGCTCTCCCACAATAGCCTATCCTCTGATCCCCAGGGAAACGCATGAATATGGAGGAGGCTGACCAAGTAGCACATGATACACACAAACTCGCTCTCTACCCAACTCTCCTTTCACTCATTTATTTATATATGGATACCTGGATTGGAGGCTGCAGGCACTCCCGTCCTCCGCCCTTACACCTCACCTCTCTGATGCACTCTGGGTGACTGCTTGTGTAAATGTGGCTGCCAAATTATGTAAAGCTGCTCTTTCCACAAGCGCGGCATACACATTTAAATGAAAAGAAAGGCAATATAGAGACGCAGTGGACTGATATGTTTATAAGTCGGCTTCTGTTGCGGTGCAGATGTCCATCGAGTGCATGTGCTATGTCAACACACAACGCACATTCTTCCTCTCTGCGGCCAAACCGGCGTGTAACTCAAGAAGACTACAGACTGCTTTGTTTTTCACAGACAAACATGCAAGTCTGTGTTCCTGTTGACAATGGCTGACCTCCTTCTGGAACCAGCTGTTCTGTCCACTGTGCAGAAAACACGTGCATGCATACAGTACAAAACACGCACGCACACACCGGAGGATTAATACTTACAGAAGTGCACACATACTTTTTTTTCACACTAACACACATGCACGCACAGTCACAGTCACATACACAGCGTGCACACAGGAGTTTCCACACAGCACAGTCTGCACTTTGCACACAGAGAAGTGAGTGTGTGGGCAGGCCCTGGCAGGGCAATGCTAACCCTGGCTGGTGATTTATCGCTATAGTGAAAGCTTGGGCTGTGAAAGGTTGTGTCCTGCCAACCTCTGTTCTCCTCTGACCACCCGGTGCCCACGTGTGGCACTCAGGGGCACGCCTGTCCCTTTCAATAACCTGCATCGAAACCTGAGTCCTCCGGTGCGTGTGTGCTTGTGTGTGTCTGAAGCACAGCAACCTATACTTGTACCCCTGAACCACAGCTTTACTATTATGTGCTGTACTTTGGAACTACAATAAAAGATTTAGGTTAATTACAGTAGATGGTCACACAGCCAATGGATGACAAACAAACAATACAACATCTAGTACACAATGTCAAACCTGCCAGCTAGAACATTACAAAACACAGTGAGTGCCGGCAGCCTTGTTAATGTCGCTACGGCATTAGCAGGATTCTCAAGGAGTCCTGGAATACTTTCCTTACAGTTAGTCTAAATAAAAGTCTGATGGGTATTAACTTGAGTCTACCCAGGCTGGCAATTATGACTGTTCTGGGTTTATGAGCAGCAGCGCAACAAGGACAGGGCCGAGCCAAATGCTTCTCTGCATCCGATTTCCTCCCTCTGATAAGAATTCTATACGCTGTCGTCAACTTTTCATTTCAACACAGATGGACTGGCACGGCAGGAGTTGATGTCTGTAGGCCGAACAGGGCATAAAGTATGTCTGAGCCATATGCATACAGGCATATAGATGCACGCCCACGCAGACACATCCAAAGAGTGGAAGAGCGGTTACAAAACCACACGGAAATGCACAATGCTAAGGATTACAATGGATCTGATAATGACGCCCTCCTCCAGGGAGTCACAAAAACATATTAGTACTCTGTGCTCTGTCTATTCAGAAATTCAAGACTGCAACATCACTGGCTTGGATGATTAAAGGGATTTTTTTTTCAATTTTACCATATTAAATCCATTGAAGATGATTTAATTTTCAAAATAAAAGCCTCTAATAAATGCGTGCACACATGATAAGATGTTATATTATAAAACATATTTACGTGTATTAAGTTTCATGCATTATTTCTGTGAGCTGTTTTTTTTTCCCTTTATGCAATGCAGAGTGCTACTTATTTTAATAAAGAGCTCTGCTGTGCTGTCATTATTAACTATTTGGCTCAGTAATAAAGCAAAGTAACAGTAGTTCGCATAAATTTGCTTTCCCCAGCACTAACAATAATGCACCAGTGCACCAGAACAAACTGAAACTTTCATATAACCAAATTTAACACCGGTCACTGGTAAAGAACGCAAAAACCAAAGCCACATACTTCTGAGCATCTTGTTGTCATAACTCCGACCCAACTCATGGCAGAGATCCACATTTCATTTATGGCTTTAAAGTTAGCGAAGAAGAAAAAGTCAGCGCCAGGATTTCCGGCGTGTGTTCAAGAAAAAAAAATGAATATACTCACTCTTGTACAGCACGGGCTATAGACAGCGCGGTAGAGCCGGTCTCATTAACACTGTCCAAGGTCACGTTTGGCAGGTCATCGTCATCGCTGTCACTTTTGATCTGCCTTGGCGACAGGCCGTTGGGGTCTATGTGTGCTGTGAGGATGGGACACAGACATGGGAGACAGACACATGAAACTGGAGCTGGCGCTGTAAACTTATAAGGCATATCACATTGTGCGTCTTTCTATTTGTAATGAAGTAACTCCTTTATATACAATTTCATCCGAATAACACCAAAAGTATTCTTTTGTGTGCCATTATTTAGCATACTGTATGCAGTAGCTGAGTGTGAGTTGAGATGGCCTCAGTACTTGCCAGTATTTTCTCTCAGGAGCTGTCAATCAAACGAAACATTTAACTGGAGGACAGAACAGTCGACCGTGACTCTGTACCCAGAGGTTGCGTACTTACAGAGTAGCATGCGAAAAGGACACACGTGTGCACATAATCTCTATCTGCCTCCAACCACAAAGATAAGACTACAGGGTGGAGCACTGTTTAGCTGTTGTTGCCTGTGAGCAGCGTGTGAAAACATTTGCGCATTTGTTACTGTTTCCAACTTAAAAGAACATGTGCACGCATGAGAGCAACTGTGAGTATCTGGTCCTCTATACAGTATGCACACCTGAAATAGAATCTTATTCATCATAGCGACGAACCTATACACAACACCTGAAGAGATCAGCTGCTAATTTCTTCAACCTCGAAAATTAACAAGCAAACTGTATATGTGGGTGCTTGTTTCCTTTTGGACAACATGGACCAAAACCATGAAAAACAAGGAAAAAAAGACCACAATGCTGTTGAACCATGACCCTCTGAGCCAGTGAGCTCAGTGGTTTCTGTCTCTTGAGCTACGCAGTAAGGTTACATCTATTCCACAAGCTGTGAAAACTTGTCCCTTGGACAGCTCATCAGATATGCTGCCAGAGCCTGGAGCCATTCTGTCCATTCTTTCTCTTTCAGCCAACAGATGCGGCGAAAATCCCGGATAACACAATAAATTAATATCAGAAGAAAAAAAACAAAGACATGCTGTAGATGGAGAATTAGCAGCAGGGCATTCTAATACAGCACTTAAAAAATGTACACTGTTAACGGTTCTGTAAAGGCTATTCTTGCTTAAAATCACCGGAAACACTGAATATACGGAGACATACAGTATTTTCCACTGAGGTCTACAACATCCCCATCTACTGTAAGCCAGGGTGCTTTTATAAGCTATCAGGACTTCACCTTCTCTGCCCTCTCAGCTGAGACTGTGGCCATAATGGCCCATAATAATGGTCTAGAGTTAGGAGCAGACATGGTGTTATTACTGGAGGGGTGGGTTGGACACAGAAATAATGCTGTAACTCAGTTGGAGCTTTTGCTTTTAAAGGTTTCTGCTGTTGTTGTAGACTAAGACATGCAGAGTGGTCACCAGCTCGCTGAACCCTATGGAAAACCTGTAATTAGCTAGAAATACATCGCATTTTGGAAATGGGGATTGGAGGGTGGGGGTATTTTGAACTAGGGACACAAAGGAGGAGTGGTGGAGAGGTGGGCAGAGCAGCGGATTTCTTCCTTTCTCTCCTGTTGTTTCCAGTCAAGCCCTGTTTCCATGGCAACCTCCTACCGGAGACAGGGAGACAGCAGTGAAAGAAAGGGTACCCGCCTTCTCTGAAAGAGGATGGCCAACCTGTGTATGTATGTGAAAAGCGAGTGAGTGTGCACCTCATATCTACGCTGAGAACTTTAATAATCGCATTAAAGTTTTCTTGGTGGGGGGTGGGAGGGGGGCTGGATTTAGTTCGGGATTTGCCTAATGTCAACAACTTATTTGTTTAACCACCGGCCAGTAGTGACACTTGAAATTCCAGATAAGGCAGGAACAAAAAAACTCTCTCTATATATAGATGGATAGACAGATATAGATATTTTTCCTATGGCTTTAATTCATTTTTGATTTGGCTTTGATGGTGGAATGTTGGATTTTGTAGACATCATATTAAATGCAATAAATAGCCAAATGTTCTGGTTCTCAACCGTTTGCACTCTCATTAAAAGTAACTGCGTCCACCACACCCAGCACTCATTCACCCCGTTTCCTTTGTGCTGGGTGCGTTCAGAGCCGGGCACTGCTGATGTTGCTCTGTGTATGTGTGTGTGGATGCGTCTGCTTGAGTGCCACCCATCTTCAATATCCATCCACACCCTATTATGCAAGTCTTGTTTTTCCCTATCCTTCCTTCTTTTCCTCTCGCCTCTCCCTGGGAGCTGACATCTAGCATTTTAAAAAGCAAAAAAAAACAACAACCAAAAAAAAAAAAAAACCGCCCATCTCTGAGGACCACCCCACCCAGCCAGCCGAGTGTCTGTTTGAGCACATGCTCTAATTACATATCATTGCTTGTTTGCTTGTACGTACTGTACATGCACGGGTGTGAGCCTTAATGTGTCTATTCCTTCTGCAGGGAGTGAAAAGAAGCAACCTTTTTTTACAACCAACAGTTGCCCTGTGTACAGCTCAGACTTGGACAGAAACACCTACTGTAGGCTCTCATCCAGTGGTTGGCAGTAAAACCACACCCAGAGAGAAAACCAACAACACATCCAAGGCAAGGCCGGAGAGGTCTAACTCTCAGACTACCCCAGACTTCTGCTTCTTGACAGAGGGAAAGCTACCTGCACTGGAGGCTGTTAAACACAAACAAGGCGTTCAAGCTCTAAGCCTTATCTTCCCTCTGAAGGGGCAACATTTTTGCCCGAGAGGCCATTCTGAAAGCATGGACATGACAGTCTGCCTTCTCAGCAATGTGTTGACTAAAGACAGAGCAGAACACCTGCCAGATAACAAACCACACAGCTTATCACTGAGCTTTCCCCCTCTAACATTTCAAAATCCTCAGTGCTAAATGTCAGTTTGTGCCATCCCTTATATCTGACCCAGGTGCAGCCAAAAAAACTTCTGTAATTGTTCCCAGAGAAAGCTGCGAGCGGTTTCTCTATTCATACACCTCTTAGTAAGAATACATTGAAGCTTATTATGATTATAACCTATTTTAAGTGAGTTAACGGATTTAAAAGTAATATTTCTCAAAAGGTAGCGCCTAAGAACAGGTACCAGCACTTTCAAACTCTTAAATGTCCTATTAGAGGTTTCACCCAATCTGGATTAGTATCTAGGTCACATGGTTGAGGTGAGTGGTCATCCTTCAGTCAGGCTGATCAGGAATCATGATGGCCACCAGTGGTGAAACACGCCAACAAGGTGGTAAGCCATTACATTTTTAAATACAATTGTAATTTTCAATAAAACAAAAACGTGATTTCCTAATTAAAACTCACTGGTGTAGAAGAAAAATTGACCTTAAAAAGTACGCAATTCAATTCAGAAACTTTTGAAATATATGTATCCCTGAGATACATTTTAATCTGAAAAACGTGGTAATACTAGCTCCAAACACAGAAATTGCATTATGAAAGTATTGCTTTATCTTTTCCTGCAGGGCATCGCAGGTAGCTCATTTTGTAGGAAAGAAAGAAAGTGATTAGATTGATCCACGCAAGCCTTTCAGACTTTGAGCTCAGTGATAAAGGCGTTGAGAGATAGTTGCAGTGGTTTACACATTTGCCATAGATGTGAAAAGACCCCCAGTTTGAGATCGGGAGGAGTCACAGGCTGGCGTACTCCTAGGGCCGGTTCCAATCACAGATAATCGAGAGGGTTGCGTCAGGAAAGGCGTCTGGTGTAAAATCGGTGCCAATTCAAACAAGTGAATCTATTCGCTGTCGTGACCCCTTGGGAAATAAGGGAGCAGCTC